CCCTTCTGAAGCTGCTGCCCCCGCGACCCGACCCCGGATAGGCGGAAGAAAATGGATGGATGGATGGATGGATACTTTTTTTTGTTTGTTTAGAGTTTCCTTTGACTGTTCTAGATCAGTGTTTTTCAACCCTGGTCCTACTGTCACACTGTCCTGCATGTTTTAGATGTTCCCCTGCTTCAAGCCAGCTGATTTCAGTTGGTAACTGATTAGCAGGCTTTTGATGAACTGCAATCATCTGAATCAGGTGAGTGAAAGCAGGGAGACCTCTAAAACAGGACAGTGTGCCTTGAGGACCAGGATTGAAAAACACAGATAAACATCATTAATTTTAGTCTGTGGTCCAACTTTTTCTTTCTGTTTTTATGCCACTGTAATATATTTCTTTTTTATGTTTTTTTTTTCATGTAAAGTTCTTTGAATTGACTTGTTGCTAAAATTCAATTCAATTCAGAAATACTTCATTGTTTCCAGAGGGAAATTAGATGTTGTAACTCATTTAACTAAAGACGTATTGTAGATGTTGATGGCTGTGGACATGAAAGATCTTCTGTAGTGGTCTGTATTACAATGTAATTGAAGAAGCCTCTGACTGAAGACACTGTTTTTCTATGACAGTCTGATGAAGAGGATGGTCAGGGTTGTCCAAAATGTTCTTGATTTTATGTAAAATCCTTCTTTGCACCATCATCTCCAGAGATTCCACAGTAGTCCCCAGAACAGAACCAGCCTTCTTTATCAGGTTGTTTAGCCTTTTTATGCCCCTGACTCTGATGCTGCTGCCCCAACAGATGACAGCAGAAGAGACGATGCTCTCAACAACAGACTTATAGAAGGTCTGCGGCATCTTGCTGCAGACATTGAAGCTTCCTTAAGAATTACAGTCTGCTCTGTTCTTTTTTGTAGACTGCTTCACTGTTGAGTCTCCAGTCCAGTCGGCTGTCCAGATGAACACCGAGGTATTTACATTCCTCGACCACCTCCACTTCTTCTCCCATGATGGAAGCAGGATTTGATTTAACATTATTTCTCCTGAAATCTACAATCATCTTCTTTGTTTTGTTCACATTCAAGATGAGATGATTGTTCCCACACCATGTCACAAAGCGGTCCACCAGCTCTCTGTGCTCAGCTTTCTATCCATCTCTAAAACACCCAACAACTGCAGAGTCATCTGAGTATTTCTGTAGATGACAGCAGTCTGACTTGTGCTGAAGTCTGCAGTGAACAGTGTGAAAAGGAATGGTGAGAGTACAGTACCCTGTGGTGCTCCTGACCACCCGGTTAGACACACAGTCCTTCAGTCTCACAAACTGTGGTCTGTTTGTCAGGTAGTCTTTGATCCAAGTGATTGTTGAGGCCTCCGTCTGAGTCTTCTGGAGTTTCAGACCAAGCAAATCAGGCTGAATTTTGTTAAAAGCACTGGAGAAATCAAAGAACATGATCCTCACAGTGCTGCCTGCTTTGTGCAGATGACAGTGGGTTTGTTGAGGCAGGCATATGTGCTATAAATGTGCTATAAACTTACCTTACCTTAATTATATAAGGCCAATTCCTGACAATTGTCATACCAAGAAGAAAGCTGAACATTTCTAAAGAAACACTAGCAAATGAATGAATGAATGAATGAATGAATGAATGAATGAATGAATGAATGAATGAATGAATGAATGAATGCGAAGGAGAATTTACCATTAACAAAAAGAGCAGTTTTAAAATTATGTTGATTATAATTCTTTATAAAATCTGAGGCCAGATAAGTGTAACATTCCCTTCTAATCTGAAATAGAAACATTACAAAATATATTCTTTGATGTATTTTTTTTCTCAAGTGAGACCTTTTAGAGTTAAATGCTTACAAATTTTCTCAACAATTCAATTCTGACTTGGCCTAATGTAAAATGTAGTTTTGTCACAGTGGGTTAATACGGAAGAGGATTAGGGCCACTGAAAAAATAAATAAATAAAAAATAATTCTGACTTTTTTCTCAGAATTCTGACTTTAATCTCTTTAATTCTTTATATAAACTCGAGGTGGGAAGGCACAATGGAAACAAGCAGCCAATGTTTGTGGATGCATTTTATTTGACCAGTAGGTGTCAGCAGCGAGCTATTTTGCTTTTTTTTCGCAGCATTTCACATAACAGAGCGGTGACGTCAGATGTCAACACGTCCTTTCAGGCCAATCAGCGTTAAGTCAGATTGACTCTTGTAAAAATGGCTTCGCTGAGGCACAGAGAAGTGAAAACTGGGCTCCTAGCCGTTAACAAACCCCGAAAAAACTGACACGGTACCGGGATCGAGAGTTAATCAGTCTTCTTCGTCAGGCGCTGCTCGCCGTTTTATGGTGACGCTGCGGTTCTTGGTTGCTTGTTTTTGTTTTCGCTTACTCTGTGGTTCCCTTGAACCGCTCATTAGCTCAAGTTGTAAAACCAATGCTAGCCCAGGGGCTAGCCGCTTAGCCTCACCGGCTGCTTCGTTCGGGTTTGACGGCGTCTGCGTGTTTATAACCTGAGCTGTGCCCGCGCTGGGCTCAGTCACAGTTGTTCCAAGGAGAAAGAGCCGCTCATGAGTCGCCTGGATTAAAAAGGACAAACTGTTTGAGGAGGATCGGGCACTGCCGCACTGTTCGGAGTGTCGAGGAGAAGGGAGTTTGCCATCATGTATTTTCTAACCGGCTGGCCCCGGAGGCTGCTTTGTCCACTGAGGAGTGCAGAGGAGCCCTTCCACATCCAGCCCAGCTCCCAGAGGTTTTACTTCGCCCTGTTGTCAGAGACGCAACTCAGCATCTGGTTCAGTCGAGTAAGTTGTGGGGAAATGATGGGTTCTGGGGTAAAAACAGTGCTACCACAAGTGCTGCTTTAACTTCAATTTAAACCTCTCTTCACCAACTAAATCTAGTGGTTTATCTCACTGCAGCACGACAGTCTGAAGTTATTATTTTAATTAAAATATAAATAAATAGCAGTGAAGGTGTTGGCTCAGGGTGCCACCTATACACCTGTCACATGAATGGAAAGGTAACTTCTGTACTCGTCATCAGATATGTTTGTACGCCTGCGCAGAATGAAACCTGGTCATCGTCCATTGATTTATTTAAAAAAAAAATTTTTTTTTAGTCCACGGGTGTCCAATCCAAATATTGAATCACCTCTTTAAGTTCTACAAAAGCCTATTTAATCATCTCAAACCAGGTGTATTGGAGCAGAGAAACCTCTAAATCAGTGGTTCCCAAACTTTTTATCTTCTGACCCACAAAATACCTTGTGACCCCAAATATTATTGGTCTGAGTACACAAACTTCATTAATAACTCTAAAAACACAGACTTTTTGACAATCTAAACAGCTTGTACACAAATATAAATTCTTATCTGTACTTATTTTGTGTTTTTGTGTAATTATAAGGAAAATATTACAGCAGCAATTATTTTATTACCCTTTAAATTGATTTCTGGAGATTATCCAAGGTGCTTCATGACCCATAATTGGGTCCCAAGCCCAACTTTGGGAACCAAAGTGCAGTGGTTCCCAAACTTTTCAGCTTTTGACCCACAAAATAACAGTAGCAGAGACCTGTGCTTACAACTATTTTTGGATGATAAACATTTGTATCAGGTCAACAAAACATGGGCATAGTAACAATATATTTTATACCACATTTATCCATTTTAAATACACTAACCTCACTCATTTGTAACAACTAAGGCAAAAAGGTAATTAACTCAGAAAATCTTTTCAGGACCCCACCTTGATGTTTCGGGACCCCACTTTGGGTCCCGACCCCAACTTTGGGAAACACTGCTCTAAATCATACAGGATAGTGTCCCTCGAGGACCAGGACTGGACACTGTTGTTTGTCACAAAGTTCTGCTGCCTTCTCTTTAATTTTAGTTTTTATATCACTGGTAGCAAGTAAGGTAAAGCTTCTCAGTTGGAATGTTTACTTTTGCGTGTGACATTGACACATGTATGGCCATGTTCAAAGTTCATATTATGACCAGCATTGATTCTCCTATAGTTCTAAAAAAAAAAAAGCCAGTGCTGCTTCTCAGAACATGTTGAGGGAAGTTTAGTCAACAATTCAACCTTGAGTGCAGAAAGTCAACCATTTAAATAGCAGAAGTTGTATTTGTTTAAATACTTAGGCATTTATTAATGAATGTATAACATAATTATGTATAGTGTTGTGTTTTTGTCCCTTTAGTTCAAAAACATTTTTTTCTTCTTGTGGAAGTAAGTGGGTTGAAGAAAACTGGAGTCTGATAATGTAAAATGATTATATAACAGGGTTGTATTTTAGAGTAGTTTCTCCTCTGGTGAAATGTTATGTTTCTAATAACATTTCACAGTTTTAATGTCTGTTTGAATTGTCATTATCTGCAATAAACTACCGTCTTCCCGCGCTACCGTAGTTCTCCACTCTGAGCGGAGCATCCACCCATCAGACTGTGTTAGAGTCAGATCTCTGCAGGGATGCTGGCACAAAGAGTCTCCCGTTGCTTCACCCATTACTGCTTTTCCACAAATATGTCAGCCACATGTAGCTCAAGCAGAGGAAAGCCATTTTCACAGCACTTGCATCATATCGTTGGTAAGAGCTGTGGTTGCGTTACAGCACATGCAAGCCAGTTGGCTCTATCTTTGTCAGCTCAGAGACTTCAGCCCCCCCCCCCCCATTCCATTTCCACGTCTTATTAACACGATGCACATCAGCCTCACTGTAAATGTGTTCTGTGAAAAAGGCTTTACTACGTCACTGATTAGAGGTCACCCAACAGTGATGCTACATGTTTTTCATGTTATATAATAGTTTGATTTAAAGTTAAAAAAATCCATTAAAACAAAATAGTTTCAGATTTTTAGAGTGATTCAGGTTACTAAGTATGGATACGAATTAAGCTTTTTCAAAATAAAAGGTTCTTTAGTTTAAATAAGTCTGTTGTGCTATTTCCCTCATAGAGGAAATGAGTCAGAAAGGCTGGATATGGGAAGGTACGACTAATAATGTCATATTTAGGGAACTAAAAAAACAAGTAAAACATTTTCCTGATATAATATTCATAACAACAATGGCTCAATCAGTCGTTTGTTCTACAGCTGATAGCTAAATGTACCCACTGCTCCAGTGCATGCCTGTCCATTAATGCAGCTGCAGCAGACCTGTTCCATGTGGAAAGTGATGCATATATATGTTAATAGGCCTGACCACCAATATGTTACGGAAAAAGCACCGAGGGGGTAATTAAGGCGTGACAGGGTCCCCTCAAGATGCTGTTGTTTTAGTGCATGTCTAAAAGCAGCTTAAATACTGTTGTTTATCCAAGAGATGGATGCCCTACTAAACTTTTATTCCGTGAGCTTTGCAGATAATAAACATGTCCAAGAAAACCAGGTAAAGACTAGAATAAGTTGCAGAAGAAACACCTAACATAAGAAAACAAACTGTGATTCTGCTCAGTTCAGGAGGGAGCAGCATCTGCCGCTGTTGCCTTGAAACTCCAAACAGCAATGCATGCTATGAGCATTTTTAATTATGTTCTCCGATCCTCATTTGTGTAGAGAATTTCCTTTTAGCGTTATAAAGAGACGTGATTTTTGTCTTGATAGCTTCGCACATCGTTTACACCAACCCTCGTCTGTGTATTATTGAGATGCAGCAACAATGGATTGAAGGTCACTGCTAATTTCCTCAGCTGCAGACAGGATGTGGCAATATTTTGTTTCCTTTCTTTATTAGGAGCTCTGCCTGCCTACAAGTACCAACGAGGAATGTGAAAAGATACAGCGGGTAAAATAAGTATGGAACACGTCACCATTTTTCTCAGTAAATATATTACTAGAGGTGCTAAGGACATGAAATTTTCACCAGATGTCGGTAACAACCCAAGTGATCCATACATACAAAGAAATCAAACCATAAATGTCCAGARATKAAGTTAYTTGTAATAATRTGGAATGGCACAGGGAAAAAGTATTGAACACATGAAGAAAGGGAGGTGTAAAAAGGCATGGAAAGCCAAGACACCAGCTGAACTCTCTCAGTAATTAGAAAGCAAGCCTGCCCCTTGTCAGTGCAAGTTAATATCAGCTGGTTCAGTCCCAAATGATGGCCAGGTATCACACAAGAACCATTGGTAAAAGTAAAGAGCTCTCTCAAGACCTTCACAACCTTATTGTTGCAAAGCATAATGATGGCATCGGTTACAGAAGAATGTCTAAACTTCTGAAGGTTCCAGTGAGCACTGTTGGGGCCATAATTCAGAAGTGGAAAGGACATTATTTCACCATAAACCGACCACGACCAGGTGCTCCTCACAAGATTTCTGACAGAGGAGTGAAAAGAATTATCAGAAGAGTTGTCCAAGAGCCAAGGACCCCTTGTGGAGAGCTTCAGAAACACCTGGAATTATCAGGTACGTTTGTTTCAAAGAAAACAATAAGTAATGCACTGAAYCACCATGGCCTGTATGCACGCTCACCACGCAAGACTCCACTGCTGAAGAAACAGCATGTTGAAGCTCCTTTAAAGTTTGCTGCACAACGTTTAGACAAGCCTGTGTAATACTGGGAGAATATAGTCTGGTCAGATGAGACCAACATTGAACTGTTTGGATGCCAGAATACACATCATGTTTGGAGGTCAAATGGCACTGCACATCAGCCCAAAAACATCATACCAACAGTGAAGTTTGGAGGTGGGAACATCATGGTGTGGGGCTGTTTTTCAGCATATGGTACTGGCAAACTTCAAATAATTGAAGGAAGGATGAATGGAAAAATGTACAGAGATATTCTTGATAAAAATCTGCTTCCCTCTACCAGGATGATGAAGATGAAACGTGGCTGGACATTTCAGCAAGACAATGAGCCCAAACACAAAGCCAAGGAAACTCTCAGTTGGTTTCAGAGAAAGAAACTAAAGCTGCTGGAATGGCCCAGCCAATCACCTGACCTGAATCCAACAGAAAATCTATGGAAAGAACTAAAGATCAGAGTTCATAGAAGAGGTCCACGAAACCTTCAAGATTTGAAGACTGTTTGTGTGGAAGAATGGGCCAAAATCACACCTGAGCAATGCATGCCACTAGTTTCTCCATACAGGAGGCGTCTTGAAGCTGTCATTGACAACAAAGGCTTTTGTACAAAGTATTAGATAAATTTCACTAAGTGTGTTCAATACGTTTTCCCTGTGCCATTCCACATTATTACAAATAACTTCATTTCTGGACATTTATGGTTTGATTTCTTTATATGTATGGATCACTTGGGTTGTTACCAACATCTGGTGAAAATTTCATGTCATTAGCACCTCTAGTAATAAATTTACTGAGAAAAATGGTGACGTGTTCAATACTTATTTTACCCCCTGTAAATGTCTGACTGTGAATGTGTTGATTGGAGCTGTGTTTTCCTCCTAACATGCACCTTTTCACATCTGTTATTCCCATAAATCTCTGAACCTTTTAACCCCAACAAAGAAAGACTTAATGACTTCTTCTGTCCACAGTCCTGTGAAGAAACCAGACAGCGAAGCATCCCTTATGTTGCTGTTTCAAAGCTTTAAAAAGCAGAGAGGGAGTGGTTTTCGTTTTTACAGTCAGCTGCATTATCAATTATTAATTCAGTGAAACAGACACTGCAGGACAGAAACTGTTAAAACCTCGTCTCTAATTACAGTGACTAAAGGTATCGTTAGGTCTAGAGTTACTGAAAGGGTTCCTGACTTTGGTTACCTGTCCAACACGTACTGCCCTGGTTTTTCCTATTGTGGCTAATCAGAATTTTTTTGCTTTTTCCATGAATGTTACACTGGAGTTCTACCTATGTGAACTCTGCAGCCATAAAACAGGACAAAACCATACAATAACTGAAGGGCTGGGAATCTTTAAAAAAAGCTCTTCTTCTCTTCAACAACTAATTCATATTTGTTGATGTATTAGTTGTACCTATACATAAAGACACAATAATGGCAATATAATCTCAGAAGTTTGTTTTACAGGTTTGGCTGCATTCAAGCTTTACAGTCAAGTTTTTCTTTAAATAAATTAGTCACTAGAACTTCGGCAAAAAAAATGTTTGTAGGCATATTTATCTAATTAGTACACTGTAAATAAATTTATAAATCATCACTTAGAGGTAATATAAATATGGTTCTATTGCTGCATTTTTATTTTATTTTTTGCAGTTTGATGTCTTTATAAAATTATCACAAATCTATGTGATCCTTACTCAACCTCACAATTTCTTTGCTTGTATAGATGCTGCACAACAAATGTGATGAAATAACTATATTTAATAGCAAAACATGCTATTATGGCATTTCATTCAGCAAATAGTAACTGCTTTTGCTTTTAGAAAATAAAAATGACTAAGACTCTTTGTCATAAATAAGTAAGGCATAAGAAATACGTACTAAAATTTTTTAAAGACATGGGATGTTCCTCGCACTGTGGCAAAATGTCTTGTGCAGCATATTAGTACAAACTCAAATTTGTTCAGAACTCAAACAGAATTCACAATAAAGAATGTAAATTTATAATAAATATTTAGTTGTAATTTGGTGATAAACTCAATCAATCTTTGCTTATTGGGTCATTTTAGTTAGTGATGCAAGGCACAAAATTTCACAACTAGCTTTAGCATTTTTTGCTATTCCTTTATATTAATGGTGCTTTTATAACAATGTTATTAATGTTCTTTAAATAAGTTATTCATGAGTTTATATAAATGTCCTAAATGCTTTAGGACATTGTTTATACAGTGAAGCAGGCTCACCATTAAGGGTGTCCTGATCCGATATCCGTATCAAATATCGGTCCGATATTAGCCAAAAAATGAATATCAGATTATATCGGTCTGCATCTAAAATCTCCAATATTAACACTTCGATACAATCAGTCTATCCAATAGTCCATTCAGGATTTCTATCCAGCAGTGCTTGGATCGAGCATAAATAGCTTTAGTGAATAGTTATTTTACATTTTAAAAGTACATTTTGTTTTTATTGGATTTATTGAAGTAATCTTTCAGGATCTTCTATTTTATTATTTTTTATTGTCTTTAATTGTACAATATTATTTTGTTTAAGTTAGGAAAATATGTAACCCATTAGATTATAATAAGTGGGACCAGTCCTTCTCATACCTATTGTAGTTGACTGTTGTTTACTGTTTGACCTGACCAAGACTTTTTAAGATTCCACACTACAAAAAAAGTAATAAAATATGTAGGATTCGTTCTGATACCGTATCGGGTCGATATCGGTATCCACCAATATTCAAGGCTGCAATATTGGTATCGTAAGTGAAAAAGTTGTATTGGGGCACCCTTACTCACCTTATAGAAAAACATAACTTAATGGTTTATTAAGTGTTTCCAGATCGATTTCTAATTGCATTAATAAACATTATTATTAGCCCTTTTTGAAGAGTGCCTGTGTTTTAAACTGGTTCATGTTTTTAATAGTGTTTTTTATTATTTTATTTGACATTTTGGTTCTCAGTTGCTCTCAGGGTGTAGGAAATGACAGTACGAACAATGTGTACTCTGTTACATTGCCATGGTCCCGTCCAAGGTCCCCTTCCAAAAATACATAAAAATCCATCTTACAGTTTTGCTGCCTTTTGTAGAAACTAATAATAAAGCCACATTTTGTGTTTCCACCACAGATACTTTACATCCTCAAACTGTTTCTCCTGGAGCTCTTATAGGTTTTAATAAAATGGTGAACTGCTCATGGCACAAAGCGTTCAACTGGCTGTAATTTGTGGAATTCTTGGAAGTGCTCATTTTCTTTTCCGTATCCCTTTTTCTTGACACAGCCCAGTGTTTTGATAGTCAGCTACATTGAGTCTGCGAAGGCGGCGACCCAGTTTGGCTTTTACCAGAGGGCAGAATGGAAACCAGACGACTCCATGGTGGCTGTGGCTGTAAGTGCACCGCTTCATTCTATTTCCCGTTTTTGTGTTTGCTGTCGCAAACATTCAAGTCAGTGTTTTATTTATACTGATCAACATTTCCATTAGCATCTGTTTGTGCCTTGTTAGAGTGGTAAATGATTGGATCTTTTCAAGTTTGAGTGTGGTCATTTTAAAAGGGGTAATAAACCAACAAGCACTGTAAATACTGTCGGCCAGTGGAAAAAAAGGTAATGACTATGACACATCCATACAGGCACAATCAGTGCAATAAAATGAAAAAGGCAGCATAACAAGCTGCCTTTGTAAGGTGTTAGGAAACAGAAGGACTCTTTCATTTTCACTCCTTTTACCCTCCTTCTCTGTTTATCTGTTGCTCGCTCACTCTAATGGTGTTCATTTACTTTACGACTTTCTGGCCACATTAATTCATTACTCACATACATTCAGGTATTGGGTTCATTTTTCATTTATCTGTCACATAGAGCAGGGTTCGTGGGGTCTCTATGATATTTAAAAGCTCAGAAGCATTTTTTTTCTTCTGGCTGTACTTCACAGCAGAGTATGTAGGACAAAAAATACAAAAGGTGGGATAATATTGAAGTTTAAGTAAAATTAAAGTGTTCTGCAAAAATATATATAAGTTAAGTTTTTAAGGTAGCTGACCAAAAGAAGCCATCTCAGGAGGTGCTTGAATGCTTTGGTTAGGCTTTTTTTTTCTTATCTGCAGCTATTTTTACACTTTGTCCTCTGTTGATCTTTGTGCTTTCTGATTGATTCAGTCTCAAACAGAAACAGTAGTTTGCTTTTAAACAAATCAGTCAGTGGTTTGTCAGTCACAAGGGTTTCAATTTCAGTTTGGTCAAAGTAGACGGAGAACTTTGGTGACATAAGCTAGTTTAAGGGACTTTAAGGGACTTCAACCTATTTTGTTTGTGTGTCTGTGCACATGTATTTGTTACCTTGTGGGGACCACTTGGTTCAAGCTAAGGGTCAGAGTTGGGCTATAGAAATTAATAGAAAATGAATGGAAGTCAAGGCAAAGTCTTTCTGAGGATTGAACAAAGGTTCTCAAATTGGGGTTCCAGGACCCCCAGGAGTCTGCAAGCTGTATCTTGGGGGTCCTCAAAAAATTTCAGTAAATTGTTAATTTGGTTTTTATTTAAAAAATATGCATATGGGGAACAATGCACTAGTAAATCAAACACACAAACCAAATAAAAATATACTATTACCATGGAATTCAGGGGTTAAAATGACAGCATGGGGTTTATTGAGGGTGGTGGTGGTGGTGGTGGTGGTGGTGATGGGGGTGGGGGTGTCCCTGGAAAATTTTCCCCTTGTAAGGAGTCCCCCCAGACACAAAATGTTTGAGAACCCATGGGATCGAAGAACATGGACCCATTGTGTGTGTGTGTGTGTGTGTGTGTGTGTGTGTGTGTGTGTGTGTGTGTGTGTGTGTTACCAAAACATCTTATGAAGAGTTGGACAATTTTGATCAAAACTTGCAGAAAGTAATTGCTGGATGTACGGCTCCAGTTCTTTTACTTTCAGCTTGATTCAAGATGGCTGCCATGGATAACTGACCTACCAAAAAAAAATACAAAAATATTTATTAGGTTGTCACTTGATGTAAAGTTGGTCTAGTTGTAGTTGCTACTTATCTCCAATAGTGCAAGAGATTGCGCAAGATTGTTTACATTTAAATTTGAGTACTAAATATAGTAAAGTCTGGGGAATTGTTTTCATGTAGAGCATACGTTGCTTTATTTAAAAAACTTTGAGCCCCTCTTTGAGCAGAGGATTATTTTCGACTGACAGATTGAGATGGTGCATAAAAATGTGTTACCAAGTGCCAGTGTTAACCAGAACATGTATTGCTTTGGCATTTGAAAAGCTGCAGTTTGACATGGGTGGAAATCTTCTCCTCTTATTACTACCGTCTTCAGTTGAACTCTCTGCTACAAGGATATTTAAGGAAGTGTTCAGGCAACTATCTGCAGATGACTCATTCAGATGATCAACAACACGAAGGACAGAGCAGTGGCAGATCGCCTAATTGAGGAAGTTAAGGTTCACTGGAATCATTAGAATCTGCATCTGAAATTACTTGCATTGTTTTTGCATGCTTCTGCCTTCAAGGAGCCGTAGACTTTAACTGGAGCAGAATTAAAAGTTAATTTATGTTCTTTAAGCTCTCCTGCCTTTACAATTTACAAGTCATCACGGGATCATTACTTGGTGTTCAAAAGGCAAAAAACACTTATATGCTATGTTATTAGCTGTCAAGATGGATTTCTTTTTTAACCTGGAAGTCTTTTAATGCCCAATTTTATATTTAACTACTACATGACCATATTCTTTTTAATGCCCGATCATTGTCAAATAATTCAAAATGTTTCAAAACAGCAAAAAGTATTCACTTGATAGATAGATAGACAGATATTCACTTGATAATCTGGAGCTGATGCTCACCAGTTTTTGTTTTGCTTTGATTTTTTTCCACTTCTCTATTCTCCTATATTTACTCTGACCTTTTTCCTTGAAAAAAATGCTATGAATGTGTCTGAAGAAGCGGTGAGTCTTTCTGACTTATGCATGCCTCGTTTCAACACATAAAGGAACAGGTAAAGTAGTTCAAAATATCAGGATTCACTTAATATTCACACCCTTGATAAAATGTATCAGTTTAGACCAGAGATTCTTAACCCATTGGCCCCACGAGCGCCCCCTTGAGGGCCTCAAAAGAACAGCAGTTTTTAACTTTGGGCCGCAGATGGCTGTGGGACCGCATTGATTATGAAAAAGGTGCAATACACTTTATCACCACTAGTAGCAGTAATGCACCACTCAGTTGTTTATCAACTTAGTTAATATGTAGAATAAGAACCTTAGAAACCTGCTGAGAATGGAAACTTATTTTAAATTAAAAGTAGAAGGCAAAAATGAAGGAAACTCATTAAAAAACATCAAAGTTTGTCACTAATATGCAGCTTCTGTTTTTACCATGCAATATTTTAAAAGTTCAAAACATTACCAAATACAGTTGCAGATACAACTACACTCACCGGCCACTTTATTAGTTACACCACGCTAGTAACGGGTTGGACCCCCTTTTGCCTTCAGAACTGCCTCAATTCTTCGTGGCATAGATTCAACAAGGTGCTGGAAGC